TTTATAAAGTAAAGGAAATTCGAGCACTAATACAACAGCTACTCGCAAATTGATAGGAATATCGAAGAGAAAGCTGGAAATCATGGTGGAAAGATCTTTTCATCGTGCTGGAAACGAATCTACTACAATCGATCAAGCTTTTAATACCGTGAAATTTGATTGGCTCAGGCAAAACTTACGTTCCAGCTACTTTTGTCACTGTGAATGCTTGTTTTTACGTGTAAATTTTACTGCTAAGTTTACGACATTACGTTATGTTTGCATTATAAATAAGACCTAAACGATTGATCCGTTCGGGTTCTAATGATGCGCCCGGATATCAAAATGCTACGATTGACTGAACAGTGACTTGTCCTTAAATTTGGTGTTGTTGGGAAAATCAGGCCTCGAGACTGTCACAATTCTTAAACAAGCATGTGGGGATGATGTCATGTCCCACAATTGTTTTACTGGCGGCAAAGATGTTCGGGGAGGGGAAAGAGGACGGCGACGATGAGCCTGGACGCCCTTCCACGTCTCAAGGAAGTCATGGTTATTGTCTTTTACTGGCTCGCACTTCCTAACGTAAGAAGCGAAAGTATTGTAATCGTGCGCCGGAAAACTGCGAATTTTCGACACAAAAATTCTGCCGGGTTCTGGTAACGAAAAAGTAGATCAATCCAGTAGCTAAGTACAGAAAAAAATCCTGTAACACGCGCTGTAGCCAGAATCCATGTTTTGGGCGTTTTTCATACCGAAAAGTCGATTGACGGCAAAATGTATGTTTGTCCGTCATTGCACAACACTAGCTAAGCTAATAAAGCTGATTTTCAGGCAGGCTCCAAACTTTTCAACACAAATTTCCGATGAGAACAAGATTTTACCCTTCTATAAAATACTAGAAGTCATGTTTCAACTCTACCATTAGGGAATCCAAAAATTGAGACAATGCTAGGAAGAAGATACGACAGGAACAAAAAGTTAGCCCAGACCAAAGAAATTAGAAAACTAACGTGTTCGGCTACGTCTGTGCCATTCTGTAACACCGCTAGTCTACTTCCTCGTATTCATATACGGAGTAATACTCGTAGTATACGCCACACGCTCAAAAATTCGCAGAACTTTGTTTTCGGCCCAGAAACTGCAAGGTATGTACGATCCAGTTTGCTTACGCATCTTGTATACAATAACCAACCTGTTAATATTTCACATTGTATTTTTTTATTGTTTTTAGCTCTGAGGATGATCGCTACGCGATCGAAATGATCATTAGTTGAATTAAAATATTGATACCTGACAATATCTCTATTTATCAAAATAAAAAAGGTATCTACTTCACCAACAATCCAATTAACTCGTAGTATAGTTAAGGTATGTAATGCTGTAGCGAGAAGAAAACTTTTTTGACAGAAAAACTTGTATTATGGGGCGTTGATACGAAAAAAAAAAACAACTGGATGTATCCTATTCGAATATGTAGTAAATTACTCCCTCTAACACGTTATGTAGTCTGATTTCACACATTGTGGGGCTTTGATACCGAAAAAGTGTTGTTCTTTTTTTCCCCCTCTTCCACGACGTACGACAGTCCGTGAACACTAACGCCTAAACTACTCATACGATTCTTTTTTTCCAAAATCGATAATCACTGGTCGATTTGGCACGACTGAGAAAACATTCTTTAAATTTTCAGGCTACTTTAGATGAATAGCCTTTATTGACTTCGAGAAAGCTTTTGATAGCGTGGACAGACACAAGCTATGGAACATAATGA